AAAATCGGGTGTAATTTCAGCAGTGCCTCAACAATGAAAGTTGAACCTATGCATATAATAGAAGATGTTAAATGGCTCAGAAATATGATTTATCCGACCTTTGTTAACCAAAACGTGCGTCTCCTGAGGTCTAGGTACACATACTGAACTATATATAATATTTATGAGCACACAGTCGTCAATGATCGGGAGAAAAAAGGATATAATTTTAGTAAGTCTGTGCAGACGGGTATGGTATCCAATACCCACAACACACATTCGTTTACTTATGCAAACTTGAGCAAAAAATTATTGATTCCCTTTAGAGGTGTCAGGGTTACCGTAGTTTTACTTGCTAACGTTAGATAAATGTAGGGTGGAACCTCGGTTAACGAGTTTAATCCATTCCGGCACCGAGTTCGTCATGTGAAACATTCATCTTGCGAAACGTAGTCAATCGAACTGCACCAGCTTACTGACTGGTTGCAGGCAACCGAGAACCCGTGCCGTGGGAACAATACTCAACTGTGGACACAGGCACACATACGCACTGACAATTCATTAACTGAGCGGAAGCTTGTCAATCGGGATAAAGTTTCTGTGAGTGACGCGCTGGTTACCTAAAATGCACGTAGATGGCGCTGCTCGTTCCATGAATCTTCATTTTACTTAACTGGCTACTAGATGCGTCTTAGTAGGCGTAGTTATGCGTATTGCAGTGCAATTGCATTTCACTATAATTCGACTCATCCCGTTGTATCCTATTGCTCACGGTTAGTTCACTTTTCCTTACGGTTTTACCGGTTTACTTAGCCTTAGTCCACTGCGCAGCCCCCACGGGAATCTTTCGTCAACTGGTATTATTTTCAATCACAGGAAGTATAAAATCTATACAGAATCCGTTAACCACGTTAATTACTTATTTTAACATGCACCATTGCACCCGCACAGGCAAATCTTTAGTGAACAACAACTAAGTTTCGACTGCAGGAAGTAAAAAATCTGAACAGATTCCGTTAGCCGCCTTGGCTGATTATTTCAACTTACTTCACCGCTGACACTGCACGGAAATCTTCAGTGACCAGCGATTAGTTTTCGATTACAGCAGTCCCATATCGTTAAGCTTAGTCTACGCACAGTGCACGCTCCTCACGAGAACCTTTGGTAATAGGCAAAGACTTTTGCACATGTTAACTACTACGCAACCGCGGATTCGATTCGAGTCCGAATTGTTGCAAATTGCTTTTTGTTTATTTTTAAGTTGACGTGCACTTGTTCGTTGTATAGGCTTATTGTAATAATTTTATCTATTATGTCCTGTTTTTTGTCACATTTATTTGATTTTTTCTCTGTACCCCCTTGATTCCCCACCCAAAAAACCCCATTACCACCGGCCCCGTAAGACAGAAATCTGGGGCCAGAGATATCCAACATGTGACACATGAGTACCTTGTGTCGTGTCAACAACGAGGAGATTCCCATGTAAAATTTCGAGGAGATAGATTCAGAAGGACAGTCTTTACTGTAGCAGGCTGATGACAGTAAAGGTTTTAAAACGCGAGCCTATCGTCTCCGTTTTTAGCCACAGCGAGAGTCGCATGTTTGCGATTGGGCAATATCCGCCTGCTACTAATAATCGTGACACTTCGATCGTTGCTTCCCAATGGATTCTTTGTGTGCCCCACAGGAAGGTAGACGCAGGGACGACGGGTTGCCTGCGACCTAGTTTATAATGCTCGGACGGCGGGATGTTGATCCGCGCTGAGCACTCTTTTGGACGGGGTGAGTTATGCGCGATGTGGGAATTCACTTGACTAGAGTTGCTGGCCTAAACAGTGGTCTAAAGTGGTAAATAGCCGGTCTAGTGGCTGTGGGAGAAGAATTCAACAGTACTCCCATCGAGACCGAAGCCGATGGGAAACAGTGGCAGAAGGGTTCTCCTTTTTCTACAAGAATGAATATTTAAATAATCACTATCGTGAACCTGATGTCAACTAAGTATGATAGGGACGGACTAAAAGTCTGGAAGAATTTTAATGTATACAAATCTCGGAGAGTCGAATGAAGAGGAGGATGAGAAGGGGAGGAAGAAGAAGAAGAAGAAGAAGAAGAAGAGAAACTGTGTGTTGCTGGAAGGTAAGAATCTGGGAGGGCAGGATTACTCAAGGGAAATTGTGGGGCAGAAGGTGAGATCTCAAAAAAATATTTGTCCACCGGACTGCTTCGGTGACTTCTCAAGCCCAACCATCATGAAATAGTAAAATTATGCCACTTGCGTCTTGTCATAGCGAGGGTTCCTCGTGGGTTTATATTAAAACAGAATACTCCCAATTTCCTTTCAGAGGACGAGTCTAATGCTTTGCGCACATGGCCATACTGACTACAAACGCGAGTGCCGTAAGTCAAGCCTTTTTATACATTAGTCCAGGTAAGATAAGTTCGTGATAGGACAGTTTACAAAGTGCTAAGGAATGGTTGAAGCGGCTTCAGAGAATTGTTCAGATTCTTGGAGGAACCGAAAATGCTTTCTACCAGCAATTAGACAATAGTTTCGAATAATAACGTGACCCGGCCGTAATCCAAATCTGACTTCAATACCACACGAATGTTAAAAGTGTCAGAGCATAGTGATTGGCAGCATGCAGGTGGTCTTTAGTTGACGATGAATGCCTTTGATAAAGTAGAAATCGACTCGGGGTCGGATTGTCGTGTGAATAAGTGAGAAGGTCTTGGGAGATTGTGGACGCAAACTGCGGACCCTAATTGGCTACAATCATAGCTTGGACGCCAAACCTAATAAATCTTTACGAACGTATAGTCTGTACGGCAAGTGAGAGAAGGGCCTTGGCGCATCGGGTTACAAAATCACGTGGTTAACATGTACGTTATCACTAAGTGGAGGCAACAGACCTTTTATCTCTAAAAATGTGACTGAACCGTGCGTCGAGGACGGACAAGTTGCCTGACGGGGCCTTGTTATTACGCCGAAACGTGATCCTATGGAACCTTCAATTTTAAAGTGTTCAAACCTTGACTTTCGTTTTCCTGTAATGCAAACCCACTTCCCAGCGAGGATTTTTTGGGGGTCGTATTCCGAAAGAAGGATGTCCATAAAAAAAGATTCAGAAAGAGCGACGTATGAAGGCAGACACGAAGGACGAAGAACAGGATTCGAAGTCTCACAAGGGATTCTTACAGCACTTGTGGTTAGGAAAATCAGTCAGTCAGTATATTTTATGAAAATGGGCTTACGCCTTTGAAGTCCTCATTTGTCACATAAAAATCTCAAGAATAAGAAGAAATGTGAAGATAGGTCAGTGAGTATTAATAGATTCGACACTGCCAAGTGACTCGTTGTTCAGCAGTGGCTGGACAATACCGGAAGAGAATTTGAGATGGATGCTTAAGGTTGTAGGCAATGTGTCAGTAAATGTATCCTCTGATCGTCGCAATTAAAAACAGTAGACGTAACTTAAAGTGTAGAGTCGAGCCGGAAGGTCAACGGGGTGTGCGCCTACAGAAGCACGACTGGATAACGATGAAAGGGTTTCGTATCTATGAATTTGACCATAGTCCTGCCAGTAAAATTTATATTATTTTTGGCTAGATAAACGGACAAGTATACTGTAGAGCGATCAATTAGGTGACAGGATTCAGCGGGCAAAATAAGAACAGGGGTTTCAGCTGCAGTGTTTTTGAAAAAAAGTGTCAGCTGTAACAGTAGAGCTGTTGAGCACGAGGCCGCTGGCTGTATGCAGATCCAGGTTGATCCGAAATGTTGTGGTTACCAAAAGAGGCATAATCTTGTAAAAACAGTGAGAGTATATGCGAAAACCCGATCAACAATTCAGAAACAAAGAAATGGCTCCTGAAGGATAAAATGGGTAAGTAAGGTCTATATTTAAATTCGTCTCAAGTTATAGAATTATGTGAGTAATTACAGAAGACTTCGTCCATATATATAGTGGCATATAG